ATATATCAGGTTGAATGTACAAACCACCATGGTCTCAGGTCCCTGAGTCACAGCAATGCCAGGGCTCAATGCCAGGGCTCACATCGCTTCCCGGATAAAAACAGATTGGGGTGAGGTACATTCTTTGTCTAAAGTGTTGCTGGCTCATGAGTTTTGCAAAGGACTCAACTTATTCACATTTAATCACAGCTACACTAACAAAACATCAAAGGCACCAAAAGTTCTGTAACAGGAAAATGATCTTTAGTTTTCTGTTCCTCCCATTCAGTTTCGTAGAACGGTTACCTCTCTATTCTTGATTGGTGTTAAATCACAGTGTTTTGCCCAAGGCTACCCCTAGCGCCCAGAGCTGCACCGTCAGGTTTAAACCCTGTCACCCACGTAACTTGAGAAGAGCTCACTGATACAATGTGGTGGTCATTCCTTCACTCTCCTTCCAGCCTCTTGACCCAAAAGTCCTAGAACCGGGGTGGTGCCACCGTGGGCGGTGGTCACGTCTAGATGATTCCCAGGAAGATGCAGCTGTTGCAGCCTGAAGGAGAAACCCAACCTTCCCCGAGAGTCACACACAGGCGGACCCTCCCACCCTAACAAGACCATGATAACAAAGTAAAACAGTAGCTAGGGGTGTGGTGGCGCAAGAAGAGCCTTTGTGCACTTGCCTCTCCATCTATCTGGCAAGCCTGCAAAAACTTCTTCTACGGGGTCAAGTTGTACCTCAGAACCAACCCTCGCTACTTGGACCCTCCTCTTTGTTCCTCTGCATCTAATTTTCTTCCCTAGCCCCATTCCTCTTCTTCCAGCATTCTTCCTTTTTGTGGGCAGTTGTTAGAAAGGACAAGGGTCTCAAGGTCTGGGCAGTTGTAAATGTTATTTCTTGCTAAATGTTACAATATAGCAGAGTATTTTGAAGATGCAGCAGTAAATAAATAGGAAGAGCTGACAACCAAGTCATGCCCTTGAATAGAGCACCCCAAAAAGTGAACCCCTTGAATTCAGTAACAGTTCCACTGTAAATTCTTTTTCTTTCTCTCATTCATTTCCTACTACGTGTCAGGTGTTGCCCTAGGATCTGGGGATGAATTATATGAAACATAGAGGACCCCTGATATTGTAGACCTTATATTCTGTAGCAGGAGATGGAAGGGACAACCCAAAATGATGTGAAAATTTCAGGTAATGACGAGCTTTGAAGGGAATCAACCCTGGTAGTGTGATAAGGTGATAGATGGGCCTGGGGGGTAGGAAAGGGGGAAGACTGCTTTAGATAGGAGGGAAAGAAAGCCCGCTGGAGGATGGGGGGGTTAAAGCTGAGTTCAGGCCTGAATCATAGGAAAAAATTGGGCAAAGGGAAAGCATTACAGACAGAAAGGCCTTGCAACAAGCAGCAGTGAGGCAAATACAAGGAGCTGAAGGAAAGCCAGTGCGGTTAGAGCTTAATGACGGGAGGGATGAGACACGAAGTCAGAGTCTGCAGGGGCCAGATCACATCTGGGAGGTAGTGTAGGAGTTTGACTTTATTCTAAACACACTATGATGCCAGGTCCTAGCAAAGTAATGCATTATTGATCCAGAACATGGACTATCCATTGTTGACTTCCTTTGCATTATCCACAGACCGGTCCTGTAAAGATTTCATGACAGTTGAACACACAAAGGATTTATTATACAAGGGACTTTGGGATACACAAGAACAGGTGACAAACGTGAGACCCTCTGCTTCACTCTAATGATTGCTCTCTGCTCCCATCTCTGACATACTAAATCTACCACACTCCTACATTCTTATGCCACCGGTTCCTTGTTCATTTTTGATAAATTCATCATTTGCCATAGGATTTTCATCTGGTTTTACCCCCAAATGATGAACAGAGATGCATTTTTGAGATCAGTTCGTTTATCCATATTTCTGTGTAGGTTGTTGCCAAAAAGGTCAAGATGATTTGTTCCATTCTAAACCAAAAATTCCCATTCGGCAGAGTGATGACTCACAACTACTGTGAATCATCCAAGTACCAGGGTGAACTGCCAGCCACTGCAGGTCTCCATGGCAGCTCTAATATATTAAGCACTTTTTTTTTGCCATTAGCACTATTCAATTTCCAACTGTCTTTGACACAGCCCCAAGGGTTTTCCAAATAAAATCCAACCTGTGCCAGTTAATGAACATTTCTCAGCAAATTCCTTGTAGTTGGGATAAAAATATCCAAATTGTTCATGTGACTTAAAATTACCCAAATTTATAGCATGTGTTACTGCAACTCACAATGAATCTTAGTGTATCTAGAAATCCCACAGTAATCAACTCCAATTAGAATGCCTCTCCACCCAAATTAAGTTACCAATTAAATAAGTTCTCCCAAATGAGAAGTGTACTCAAGGTAAATTAGATTAATCTTATCATTATATAAGTCCTACTTGTATTCTCCAGTTACAATGTAGTATTCTCACCATTTTTTCTTGAAACAACAATAAAAAAGAATGCACGATTCGAATGTTTCCACTTAAGAAATTCAGTTGTGAATTTTCAAGTGAACAGCCTATTCTTTTGCATGGTACTTTGGGACTCCACAGTGGTGTGTATGTCCGTGTGTGTGCGTGTTTGATACTATCTACCCACATCCGAAAAAATCCATCCCATAGAATAAAAGAGAATGACAAAAAGTCTTCTCGGGACACCTCGGTGGAATGGGTGCTTTTATTTTAACTGATATGTCTATGCAAATACACTCAGTCACAAATGAGAGCTTCTTAGGCCTGACTATAATTTAAACTCTGAAAGATGAGCGGGACTATTAGAGACCTTCACCCCCCGGTAACCTATGCCCCTTGATATGGGAAGGGGACTTGGGTTCTCCTCTAGTCCTCTTGTTTAGGATTAAACGGGAGATTTCAGCTTTGGTGTGAAGCTGTCAGCTGTCCTAATCCAGGACAATATACAAAAATTGGACTCTAGGAATGAGGGACAAAAGGGAGGAAAATCTCGAAGTGAGTAGAGATAAAAGGGCAGCACTGAGCTGCAGAAAATGCCCAAGGACAGCAGACTCTAGTTAAGATCAATGGGAGGAGATGTCTTGGGGTACAGGGAGAGAAATTAGACAAGGCAAAGATGGCCTTGGCCATCCAGAATGAAGGAATCAGGGGAGGAGGGGATGTCTGCATGCCGTAGACAACTGAATTAGAAAGAGCAGAAATGTAAACCAGCAATGATTCCCTGTCTTGAGCCTGGGTAGCTCAGATATGGCTCTCCTGCCATTGGACAAAATAATTTTCATGAGGGGATCCAATCACTAATGCAACAAACTCTAATGTGGTCTAGGTTGAGGGTGGTTCTGTTCTCAAACACGGGGGTGTACCAGTTGCTGGGAGAGGAGGAATGAAGGTGTGGAATCTGAACATCTTAAATAAGTCATCTAGTAGCTCTGATCACTTTGGACATTCCTGGGAAATACGTAACAGGTCACTATAACAATACAACACAACATAGATACCTGTTTGTTCCCCAAGACCCACATGACAATGAGCTTCTACCATCTTAGTTTACAGAGATATTATTCAGTCCAGGTTACAATCAGATTTTACAAGATAATCTGACTACACAAATATTTATAACATGAATGTGGTTAAGAAAAAAGCACAGGGGCCAGAAGTCGGAAGAGCTATGTTTCAGTCCTGTTCAGGTGTGTGAACCTGGAGAAGTTGTTCAACATCTCTGGGGCTCAGTTTGTTCATCTGTAAAGTGTGGTGCTGAACCCACTCCCACCCCCCATGTACTCCCTCTGTGTCCGTGAGTGGATCCCCAAATGGAAGGTCACTGTGGAAATGTAAAGCAAACGGAAGATGTGGCACTGAAACAAACTGGACAACTGCTTGAACTCTAATATGACCACCTGTCCTCATGAACGGACTTGTCGTCTACTGGTTTGATCAGTATCGTCAAAGGCCATTTATCTGTAACTTTTGAGAAAAGTAATTTTCACGTGATAGTCTTGGAATAATAAGCTCAAGAGGAGTCTCAGATCACTTCTAATTTGAATGAAAAGTACTTTGGGCTTGGTTGGAGGTGGGTCCAGTGGAAAGCTGCATTCCCTTCAGAAGTCACAATGACAAGTCAACCTTTATTCTAGCAGTGGTTGGTCTGGAACAGCTGCCCCATGTCCTATCTCACACTCTAAACACTATCATCAGTATCTTTATCCAAAATACACTTGATTTTCATATGCTTATTACAGGAGAGAAAATAACTAAAATTTACAAAGTACCCCTTCTGGGCTAAGCACTTATAAGGTGTTTTACATACGTTCTGTCATTTAAACCTCAAGGCAACTTTAAAAGTAAGTACCACTGTCCCCATTTTACAGGTGAAGAAACTGAGACTCAGAGTGGTCTTGACTTGGCCAAGTTCACAACACCAGGACATAAGAGAGATCTGAAATAATAATCCAGGTCCTCTGACTTCACAGCCCATGTATTTTTTTCTGTATCATCATGCTACCTAGAAGAAAAGAAATGAGGATGACTGGTTAGCAAAGTTAGGGAAAGGGATATGCAGTTCATAAAGAGCTCCCTCATTCTACATCAATCTGCAATGTCCAATTTTCAAATTATCAGAATATGACAGAAATCTTCAATATTAAGTGACTAATAAACACAAGCAATCTGACTTTGATGATCCATAAGGTGCTTTCGAATTCTGCTGTGCCCTTAAGTTCTCACTAACAATATTGATTATCAGTGCACTACAGTGCAGAAAAGAAAAGGCAGGTAACAGAAGCCGGTCACCTGCCTCCAAGCTGCCAGGCGCTGCACAGCTTCTATCGGCTTTCATGACATCAAGTCAAGGAAACAAGTGGAATCTATCAACATGACCCTGCCTCTTTAGACATACATTCTAAACACATCCATTCTCATGGCCAGTGAGAAAGAAATCGATTCAAGGGGATCTCACCTTTCACCAAATTCTACCCTTAAAATACTTAACCAGTCACATCACGGTGTGCAATACTTTTGGCAGTCACAATCTCTATCACGAAGCACAGCTGAAGACAACTGGAGACTATAACTGGTATTTAGACTCCCCCCTCGGTGGGTGGATCAGACTGCATGAGGCAGTGTGGCTGTGTGGAGGGACAGAGGTCTGGATCTGTGGCCAACTGCTTCTCCTGCCAAGGTTCTCAACTGGTCTGTTCTTCTGCCATCCCAGTATCTACGACCTCAGCAACGTTAAAACAACGGAATATCTGCAAGCAATCGTGTCTAAATAAAGAGCTCAGTATTTGAATCTCCAAGAAGCGGCCAATTTCAGAAAGACATTTCGTGGCCCGCTAGAGCAGTCTGGGGTGAAAGTTGTACCGGAGGCTGGAGAAGAGCCCGATGTGTTTCACGAGGTTGGGTTCCACCACGTAGGCCCGCTCCCCCTTGGCCCTCAACAGTGAGTACAGTGCCATGTCCTTGCCAAAGCCCTGATGGCAGTACACCTGGGACAGGTAGGTGAGGGTCCGGCGGGCCGCAGGGGCAGGGAAGAGCATGGCTGGGGTGCAACACTGCGAAGCAGGGACCACGCTGTACAGGGAAGGGCTCAGCCGCCGCAGCTCCAGGAAATAGTGCCGGCCCACCAGTTCCACCAGCCCCATGCTATACAGGGAAAAAAAGAGCAGGACTGGCCAGCTAAACCCCGGGCGGCTGGCAAACCGCATGTATATCCAGGTCAGCACAGGCCCCAGCACCATGCCCACCCCGATCCACTCCAGGATCCGCATGGGCTCGGGGTTGATGTAGTGCTGCAGCCTCTCGGGATGGTAGAGCTTCAGGTAAAGGGCATCTCTGAGGTGCGGCTCAGACAGGCGAGCCCGCAGCAGGTGCTCCAAGACTGGGAAGATCTGCTCTTCGGGAATGGCGTCGTCTTCCACCATCAGGACGTAGTCGGGGTTGTAGGTCTGCAGGGAGGACTCCAGGCAATAGACATAGTCCTGCTTCTCCTTCTCAAACGAGTTGGTCGAAGGGTCGTCGCCGTAATCATCTTCAGTGCCCTCGTAGCGGTTGGCCACGGGGACGTACTTGGACAGCAGCTTGGCATCCAAATGGCTCACGCTGCGCTCCACGTTGCACAGGAAGAGTTGGTGCCCCTCGCACTGGGGGCCACACTGTTGCAGAAGCCGGTGGAACTGGGACACCACCTGCAGGACGTAGTGGAAGCCAGGCTGTCTGTCCACAGTGACGATGGTGATAACCAGCCAGGGCCGTGGGGTGGCCTGCCAGACGATGGGCACTGAGCCGTTGGCGGAGGGCAGCTCCTCAAAGTAGTGGAGGGCAGCTTCACCCTCTTTCAAGCTTTGTTGCAGGTACTCTTGGCTCATCTGGTTCAGATGCCAATGGCGAAGGTAAAAGTAAGAGTGTAGAAGCCGGTGACAGGCCAGGGGGGCCAGCAGGCCAAACGTCACCACCGTCAAGATGAAGAGCTGGACAGCAGTGCTGCCCCAGGAGAGCCGCCTCAGCCTCCGGAGGAGCATGGCAGCGGGAGAGGCTGATGTGCTCATGAGGTCAACTTCTGGTCAGGTCTGGTCCCGAGAACAAACCATCCTGGGACTGCAGGCCCAAATCAGTGCGAGTCGAACCTAAAGCAAGAGGAAGCAGAGACTGGTAAAGGGCTTCTAAAATCCAGGGACAGAACTCAGCACATATCAAACCAGAAATTCCAGTTCTAGGCTGGGTAGCTACTAGAGATTACGCATTTTCTCCAGTACACTATTCTTTGGTTGTATCTGCTAATGACCCCTTGGATTCTTTTGTTACTTCTGTGAGTAATGAAACCTTGGTGCATGCGACCAAGTCTCCATGCCTACAAGTAGGTGCTTAGTTAGGTTTACAGTGTGCCAGTGAATCACCAGGTGCACCAGTAAATTCATTATGTCAATTAAGCAGCTGCACAGACATGGGTTCTTAAAGCAGACGCATAAAAGCAAGGCTTGACACCAAAAAATAAGTACCTTCCAATGTAAATGCACTGCAAATACTTGTTGCTGTAATTTCTGAAAACTGTCTTCTCTGCACACACCCAACTCTCCAAAAATGACAATTTATGGTTCCCTGAAACGTCTTTGCCAAGATCTTCCATTCCTGTTTCTCTAATCTCATGCAACTATACTGAAAATTGCATCTCAACTGAGTCCTGATTGTTCTCCCATTTTATTTTTTACTACCATGGGAACCAGTAAGAGAAAGGATCTTCCCTGTGCAAGAGAACTCTGCAGCCCCATCCTTTAGGAGAGAAGCAAGTGTCTGAGGTAGGCAGAGATGAAGATGAGAGAGACAGTTGCCCTTAGCAAGTTCCGGAAAGAAATCTTGAGCGGCATGCTGACTCAGAGCGCAGGCCTGAGGTCAGGCACACGTTGGATCCCAGCTCAGCCACTCGGGAAAGTCACTTCGCTCTCCACACCTTGGATTCCTAACCTCGAAAATGGAGATAATACTACTCATCGCATAGGGTTACCGTGATTAGAAGTGTTACAGAGCAAAATAATGCATAGTAAAAATGCCATCAAACTACATCCCTATGTACAAACTCAGGTAACATCTTAGGCCTAAGCAGACCTAATGATCAGAGGGAAAAGAGGTTCACACCAAAATCCAGAATTAAAAGGACAAAGCCAGTATGACACCAGTAAGGTCAACGCAAAACTAAACAGTGTCAACTCGTGAACACAGACAACAGTGTGGTGACTGCGGGGAACTGGAGGGGGAGGGCATGGGGGGATAAATGGTGATGGGGAAAAATAATATAAAATTTAAAAAATAATAACAAAATGGTGTCTACAGAAGGTACACCTCTTACTTCAGAAGCACATAATTTGCACACACTTGGAAGAAAACAGCCTAGCTTGTGAATTATCTTGAAGGAAGGACTGACTACCCAGGTACCATACAAGGCTGTTGTGGTGCAGTCTCTAGGCGTCTCATTTTCATATCCTGTCCCTGGGAACACAGAAAGACCCCCTTTCCTAGCCCATCTTCTTCCAGGTGTGGTCCTGTGACTAGGGCTTACCAGCAAAGTGATGGGTGTGACTTCTGGGCCAAGAGGGTTGAGGGCAGATGTGCCTCTCAACTTTCTCTTTCTACATCTACCAGCTGAATGAATAGCCTTGGCGGATATGGAGAGGAGGGTGGAACCACCAGATGGCAGGAGCCTGTGTCCTTGAACGACTGCATGGAACAAAGGTACCTCCCAACTACGCACCTGCGGCACCCTCCCAACCTACAGTGGACTGTGCTGTGAGTTATACATACACCTCTGTGCCTAGCTACTAATGATTTTTGGACATATTTATTCCAATGGTTAGCCCACCCTGCCCACCAGCGTTGTGTAGGATACCAAGGCTCTCTACAGCAGAGCAGGTCTTCAAATGGTGTCGTCTAGTTCTAACGCTGCTGAGATGCTCTAGGAACCTAACTCTTGTTCATATCAATTAGTCTATGGTAAAACTGGTTTTGTGATATGTTGTTTCACTTAAAGTTGAAAAACCTATTAATGATGTTAAGTGAGGACTTACTGTGTGACAACATAGTAAATTTAAGGAAGCAGAGACAAGTCTCACATCAGCAACAGAAGCAGATCATGCTGTGGGATCCCAGGGGTGAGACAGACTATCCCAATACTAGTGAGAGATCTGAACAGCACTGAAGAGGGAGATAAGCAGGGAGAGGTTTGAATAGTACACAGCCCCAGCTTGCTGGCTTGTGACTTCTGGAGTACTGCAGACCGGTTGCTTCTCTCTGGGATCTGCTCAGGTCCAGGGAGTTAATAAGCCACGTGGCTGCACTTCTCCATGGCCTCACCAGCATCACTACTAATGAAAACCAAGGACCGAAAAGGGTTGAGCTCACACTCCCACTAAGCTGGCCTTGGGAACAGTCATTCAGGTGGCTTCTGGCTCACCCTTCTCCTCCTACTCAAGAGAGCTGTGCCCACTTAGAAGGAGCAAAAACCAGTCAACAGATAAAGCCTGCAGCCTGGAAAATGCAAGGCACCTACTAAGTACTAAGATGACAAAGCAGAGCTCTGCGTTTGGTATAAAGCTGCTATCCACCCTCCTTCAACACACTCTTCTAGTGACAGTTTTTGGTAAAGCAACAATGTGACACTCTTTAGCCCAGATAAGTCCCAGGGGTAGGATGTTTCCAGGCCGGTGTGTGCACACACATAAATGCACATGTACACAATTGATTTAACAATATGAATCTGATCATGCCAATCTCCTCTTAATAAAATCCAAAGCTTCTTATCATGGTCCATGACGCCCTTGATGATCTGGGCTGTCTTCAGGCTGGAAGTTGGCAATGTCTTTCTGTAAAACGCTAGACAGCAGTATTTTAGACTTTGTGGGCCACACGCTATGTGTGTGGCATATTCTTCTCAGATTCTTTTTTGAAACTCTTTAAACACGTAAAAACTATTTTTAGTACTCTAGTCAAATAAAAACAGGCTGTAAGCCAAACCTGGCCTGGAGCCCACAGTTTCCAGCCCCTGCTCTAGACTAGCACTGTCCAATAGAAATGTAATGCAAGTTACACATGTAATTTAAATTTTTCTAGTAGCCACAATAAAAAAGTAAAAGGAAACAGATGACATTAATTTTAGTATATTTTAATGCGATACATCAAAACTATTATTTCAACATGGAGCTAATATTAAAAAATTATTAATGAGGTTATTTTACATTCTTTTTTTTCATACTAAGTCTTTAAAATCTAGTATTTTACACTTACAACACATCTCATTTCATGAATATGCAAATCAAACCCCAATGAAATGTCACTTCACACCCGTTAAGGGGCCTGTTATCAAAGAGATAGTACACAGCAAATGCTGGGAAGGATGTAGAGAAAAGGAATTCTTGTACACTATTTGCTGGAGCATACACTGGTATGGCCACTATGGAAAAAAGTATGGAGATTCCTCAAAAAACTAAAAATAGAATTACTGTATAATCCCACATCTGGATATATATCCAAAGGAAACAAAACCACCACTTTGAAGAATTACCTGCACTCCCATGTTCACTGCAGCACTATTCACAATAACCAAGATATGGAAACAACCTAAGCGTCCAATGGCAGATGAATGGTTTCATAAAGAATATATGGTATATATTACATGCAATAAAATATTATTCAGCTTTAAAAAAGAAGAAAATCCCGCCACTGGTGACAACATGGATGAACCTGGAGGGCATTAAGCTGAGTGAAATAAGACAGATAGAGAAAGCCAAATACTGCATGTTATCTCTTATATGTGCAATCTTAAAAAAAAAAAAAAAGTCAAACTCATAGAAACAGAGAGTGGAGTGGTGGTTGCCAGGGGCTGAGAGGCGGAGGGGTAGGGAGAAGTTGGTCAAAAGCCACCAACTTTCAGTTATAAGATGAATAAGTTCTGAGGATCTAATGCATAACATGACGACTATGGTTGAAAATACTGGACTGTATAACTGAAATTTGATAAGAGGGTAGAACTTAAGTGTTCTCACCAAAAGAAAAAAAAGTTAAAAAAAGTAAACTCTATGTACAGATATGAAAAAAATTTAAGATATATCTTCATTTAAAGAAGATATAAAAAAATATGTATAGCACTTCTCGGTTTGGCTCAGTGGTTAGAGCATCAGCCCACAGGCTGAAGGGTCCTGGGTTTGATTCCAGCCAAGGGGGCACGTACCTCAACTGCAGGCTCAATCCCCCGCCCTGGCCAGCACACGAGCGGGAGGCAACCAATCGATGTGTCTCTCTCACATCATATTTCTCTCCCTCTCCCTCTCTCTCCCCCCTTTCCACTCTCTCTGAAAAAGCAATGTGGAAAAAATATCCTTGGGTAAAGATAAAAAAGAAGAAAGTATGCATGACATGCTACCATTGTGTGGGGGAAAAAAAGGGAGGGAAATATACATAAATGTACTTGTATATACATAGACTATCTTTGGAAGGATATACAAGAGACTGGGAACTTTGCCCCCGAAGAGGGGAACTATGTGGCTTAGGGACTGGGGTGAGATGAAAAACATTTTATTGAATACTTATTTGCAGCTTTTGACTTAAAGGTACTGACTTATAAAAAATAAATTTTCAATTTTAATATATTTAACAGAAATATCATTGCCCTCCTAGCAATTTTATAACAATAGCTTGTTAGATTCCTTGCTAATCCTTGGTTCAACCAGCCTCCCCTATCAGAACATGAGCTGATCTGTCTTGATCACCATGGATACCCAATACCTAGCACTACCTGAGGGTAAAGTCCGTATTATTTATTGAATGAACGAACTGATTGAGGGAACACCCTTACACCAGATGACTGGAGAGGCCCTGAAAGCACCAAGTCCTCCTGGGCCCTTGGCTTCCTGCTTGAATTTTCCAGGAGCTTGCTAAGGAGCCTGGTGTGCTTGCAGGGCTGGCTCCAGAATTTCTGTACAAAAGAGACTTATGTGTTCCAAGTAGTAGAGGGGACTTTCTTGAAGCTATATAAAGCAAGCATGAAGATTTTCCTTAGATTCCATTATTTCTTAGGATGGAAACTAAAGAACCTAGTGCTGATATAAAGGCCTTTAATCCTGGGCAATTTCCCTACTGGGAGCAATAAAATCATCAACATCTCAGAAATCCCTTGTTTTGAAAATATGGTGTGAGACTGCAGTTCTACTGATGATCAGGGAAGGGGAGGGGTTCCGTTCAGAGGACACACAGTCCAAGATCTGCTCTTGCTAGGGAGGTGAACAACCCCAGATT